AAAAATGGTCTGTTTCTGATCCCCACATGCCCTTCAGCCTTTAGTTATTTTGCAGTGAACTGCAGAAAAACACGTATTATTTTATACTTTTATAATTATTTTTATACATTTTTCTAAACAAATCTATTCCAACACAAGATTAGTGGGAAAGGTCATCTCTGTTGATCCTATTGCGCATCAATCTAAGTCTCTGGTATGAAAAGCTGTATTTATAAGCCAAGGAAAAGAACAGGGATTGTCTGATGCACTACCGAAAGTTAACAGGTCCCAAGTTTAGATTGGGGATAATGTCATTCTTTGACAAACAGCCACTGTTTCTTCAAACCCAGCTGTCTTCGGCATATCAAATCTGTCAGAGGTGCTTACAGGAGTGTATAGGTTATTACAACACACAACATATATTCTCATTGAGACATGTCAAATCACGTACCTTTCATAATTCTCACATTTGATGACAAATTTAGATTATTACGCACCATATATTGTTTTCAGAATAAACGTCTATTTCCAGGAGTGATGTAAGGTTAAAGTTATAAAACGATGCTGTGCATCTAAGAAACCATGTTTTCTTAGATGTTTAATTAAAAACACTAATTCAAAAGTTCAGAAAAGATTTATAATTGGTATTTTCAAAGGTGGGAGCTTAAACTTAGACTTTTAATTCATATTTAAGCATGTAAAGAAAAGCATTATGATTTTCAATGACTGCTGGCAGTGAATACTTCTGGATTCCAGAAGAGTTACTCAGCACGCCTGAAAATCAACCAGAATCTATTTAAATGTCCCCCTAAAACCACAGAAACCTAATTTTGGGTAGCTAGATGAGCGTTGCCTTATGTTGCAAAATTAAAAACCAATTCCTTCACATTTAAATCAACAGATTTCATTATATATGCAGAAATTCATAAAACCAGAATTTATCCATAAAATATACACCCATGAGTTGGAATCTAATATATATATATCTAAAGTTCCTAGCCTTTGACATTTTAGCAATACTTGGGCCACTATAAAGGACCCTTATCTTCCAGAAGGAAAGCTATTGCAGAAAAAGCATGGCAAAAATAGACTGCTCCGACCCTATTCCCATGGACCAGAGGATTAAAGAACAACGGTCTCTCCTTCCCCCGCACATTCACACGTTCATTTGCATTGCTCAGGTATTAGCTAGCCTACCTCGAACGCTGTGCTTATGCAGAGACGAGTTTTAAGTATTGAAAGAAGACTGGGGCTAAGAAAATGAACAGAGAAAATAGAAGTAAACTGGTAGCAGCTCGCTGTATGCAGAAAGCATAAGAAAACAGTTTTCCAGTGGGAAAGGGTTACACATGGGAGAGATTTAATAGGATACATGTTCCACAAGGCCTGCTCTGGAAACAGCATGTGAGTAACGAAAAGTAGGAGAAATGCAGCAGGTGGACTAAAGAGTGAGGAAAAATAAAAGAAGAGAGAATGCAAAGATCAGACCAAGAAAGAACCAGACCACCACCAAAAATATAAACTATACCAGACCACGTAAGCATCCATTAAGTATAGGAGAGAAAGCAAAGAAGAAGAAAAAACTAGAAAATTAATACGAAGTTTTCCTTAACTCTCCTTCTTCTTTCCTGCATTCCTTTGTTCTGAATTGAGGTTGAGGTTGTAACTGCTTTGAGAGAACAAATCTTCTTAGTCCCCTTTTGCCAAGTATCTCATTCATAAAGCCTTAATTGGTGTTAAGTATTAATCGGAATAGTGTGATCTCCACCCAAGATAAATTAATCTGGCATTACTCTGAAGCATTTTCTTTCCCCTAGTCTGCTGGACTCCCCGAATGTGAGCTATGGCTCAAGGAGCCGCTACCTCAACACCGTCTGCAGTTCAGCTCCCAGTGACCTGAAACGCGTACAACGCGTACACGCAGGCTGTGCTGGTGGCTTTCACTCAGCTTTACGCTTCCGCATCTCACTTTAGCTTGACATTTTTTAGGCAAGGTGGAAATTTAGACAAATAAAGCTTCCTGTCTTTTTCAGCTTGATTACAGCTAAACTTCTCCACTTCTGTCCTTAACACTTACATTTTTACGGTAATAAGGCCCGGGCCGGGAAATTGCCTGCGAGGCTGGCAGTCCTCAGGCGGCAGGGGCGGTCACTGAGATAGCGGGTACGTCCGAGCTGCTCTGCTGGGTTTTCTCAGAGGGCCGCAGTATTTGGATCCCAGCGTTTGACAACATGCAGCCGGCAGAGTGATGGCGAGACACTCGGAGCACAAGCCAGAGCACGCTTATTTTCCAGCAGGTGAACATGTGAAAAACAAAGTTCCACCTGGTGATGGCATCTTCAGTCAGCTAAGTAATAAGGCATCCTAATTTATATGAGTTTTATAAACTGATAACGGAAGAAAACATGGTATCTGATTATATACCTTGCCATAGAGGATTTTAGAAGGGTTTTTTGATGTATCTGTGAAATACCCAATATATAAATACCACCAGCATTGTTGTAGAATATTGGCGCTGTCTTCCATCAGTTAAAGGCTGTGTTTTGAACACACTAGTTTTTTTTATTGTAAAGCACAGCCCAGGGGACCGCTGTATGTCGGTACCTAAAACACCAGCCATGTAGCCTGCCTCTCCTGCTTCTGAATGCCACGTAGACCCAGTGTGCCGACAGCTGCCAGAAAAACCACCCGATGTCGCTCTGGACATCCGACTCATAGTAAGGGTCGTATCCGTACTCCTTGAAGTCGGCAAGAACCTGATTTTCCAAGCGACTGCTAAGCAACAAGTGCCTGCGTTTCTTCTGAATTACCACTAGCAGACTGTATTTTCCACTTGTGGATGAATAAACACTCTTCACGGGCAGTGGCGTGAACTCTCCAAACAGCATAGCTCAGACGTAATTAACTCAGCACCTACATAACCACCATTTTTTAAATTCCCTCTCCAGTCACTATGATTATTAAGACGTTTCTTCTTGATAGACCAACAGTTTTTAAAAACGTAGTTACTAGTGCCCGATGCCCCCACGATGCGCGCTGAACCACATAACCTGGTACTTCAGGCACCGTCGACACCC